AAAATTGGTCCAGACCACATGTCTGCCCTGCGGCACCAAGATTCCTTTCCAAAAGACCCTGTCGTTAGATGGGTGCTGAGTGAGGAGATGGGGGATGCCCAGGGAGAGGCATTCAAATTCAGATCAGTCACCCTTAGTCCAAACCTCTTCAAATAAGTACAGACCATGGAAGCCAAAGCAGCAACGCCCCGTCCACGAGGTCTCTTGAAGGAGAGAGGCAGCACCAGTTACCAACACCAGGTGCTGGTGTGGGTGGGAGGCAGTGTCCTCAGGGCATGGCTGCCTGGGACTTCACGTTGAACTCAATGCCACACTGCTGGGTTTCCCCAAGCCTCGGCTGAGCCAGGAACAYGGTCCCCACGCTGAGGAGCAGGACACTGGTGCTTCTTCCACAGGGGGCAGTGGGTGGGTGGAAGACAACTTCCATCAGACCTTCTTGGAGGAGGAATGTGGTCACGTCGCGCACAGGCGCCCACAGGCCCCCTCAGCGGTGGACACTGGGCATCACTGACTTTTTTGAGCAGCCTAACAGTGACATGGGTGAAAAGCACCAGGACTACCAAGGGAGTAGCCTGACCCTTGCGGGGGGCCTCTGGCCCCCCAGACTTCCCCAGTGCGGGGCGCCTACGGGCTCTGCCGCCCACTGGTCTGCACCTGCCGTTCCTCTCCCAGGGTGAAGCCTGCTGGGAGCGCTAACGACGTGGCCCTGGATGCCTTAGATCTGGACCGGATGAAACAGGTGAGTGTCTCCTTTCCTCAGGGCTGGGGCAGCCATCAGGCACCCCCAAGGGGGCCACAAAGGCAGGCAGGGAGCAGCCAGAGGAGGAAAGGGGGTGCCCATGTTCATAGTTTGTCCCCAGCCCCTGCTGTCACCAGAACAAAGTGATCCTCCACCTTCTGGTCCCCCCAGCCTATCTCAGGGGACCTCTCCCGTGGGGCAGCCCTGGGTTTCACCAGTGTGCACCTGAAGAGTAGTGGAGCATCTGCCCCCACACCCCATACTGTCCTTCCCCAGCTGGGGACGCACCAAGGGCTGCGAGGGGCAGGGTGAGGGCGAGACCCCCAGCCTTCACCTGGAGGCTCTGCCCACAGGAGATCCTGGAGGAGGTGGTCCGAGAGCTCCACAAGGTGAAGGAGGAGATCATCGACGGTGAGTGGGCTGCGCGGGCAGCACTGTCACTGGGGCCCCATGGTGGAGTGTCCTGAGAAGGGGCAGGGTTGTGYGAGGAGCAGGGGAGGCAGTGCTCCTGCCAGCAGAGGTGGGGCCAGGACCCCTTGTCCCCCCAGGCTCTGGTTGTGGGGACCCAGGCTCAGGAGAATTGAGTGGTTTGCCTAAGAACCCCACCTCCCTGGTGGTGTGCCCCTGCTGAGGCCACCACCTCCCCGGGGTGCTGGAAGATGGGCCCTGGTCCGTGGGGGAAGCCCAGCGGATATTCCAGACTTCTCGTTTTTTATTTCATTATCTGTCATTGACATTGCTCTCTGGCCTGCCACCTCCAGTTTTGGAGTTCTGAGAGCTGCTGCCTTCCTGGGAGGGGGAGCTGGGAGCCAGGAGCTGAGCTCCACCACAGCCTGCCTGGCCCCAGCAGCCTCTAGCCCCAGAGCAGGGCGGGTCTGGTGACATCCGCCCGGGCCTTTGAGGAGCTGTCTCAGATCTGCAGCCAGAGGAAAGGGGAAGCTTGGGCAGGGCTGGCTGGCCCAGGACAGAGCGGCAAAGTGCAGCCTGCGCCACCCCCACCTGCTGTCCCCTCCAGGAAGGTGAAGTCTCAGGCTGGGTGGCTGGCTGTGGGCCCCAGAGARTCCTGTGAACTCAAAAGTGGCAAAGGCTGATGGCAGACTCCAGAGGGCAGAGGGTCCGTGGGGGGCCGCAGACCCAGGCCCCTCCCACTGCCTGGTCCTGGATGTTGGCTCCTGGGCCCAGGAGATCTGTCCGGGGAGAGGCCAGAGTTGACACGGAGGACACCAGAGGCCCTGGGAGGATGTGGGGAGGGCTTGTGGGGGACGCAGGACAGGAAAGACAAGCTGGGGGCAGCTGGAGGAGGCGTGCACAGAGTCAGGACCCGGCAGTCAGCAAGGTCTCCTGCTGCCACTGGGGAGCCCAGTACATGGCGCCCACTTTGTCGGGGAGGGTCCCAGGTCCTCTGAGCAGACCCAGATGCCACCCATCCAGACCCTATGAAGGYGCCTGAACCTCGGCACACAGGGCAGTCCCCCCACCCCGCCCCCGAGAGCCCTGCCCCTCTCTGGAGCTGAGGTATCAGAGAGGCCTGGCCACTCCAGACCCCAGCCAGCAACTTCTGTGCCAGAGCAGGTGGTGGCAGCAGGGACTGTGGCAGGAGTGGCCTGTGAGACCAGAGACCTGTGCCAAAGCTGCCAGTAGGCCGCGCCCTGTGTGGCCTCTGGCAACCCATGGGGGCTTCCAGCAGCCCGGGCAGGTCCACGGGGGTGTGGCAGGCTCCCCACGGCTGCCCCTGAGCCTCCCTCTCTGTCCTGTCCCTCAGCCATCAGGCAGGAGCTGAGTGGGATCAGCACCACGTAAGGCGACCACCACCCGGAGGACAGCAAGGAGCCCCCGCCCRCCTCCAGCGCACATGGAGTGTGGGGGCCAGGATGCGCTCCACCTAAGTCTCAGCCTGTGATCAAATTCAAAACGAGGAAACAAAGTTCAACTCCTGGATTTTTTTAGATTCTATCTGACACAGAATACCAGGTCTATTCTCTTTTTTTGTATTTTATATTTGCTTATTTAAGTGTACATTTCTTTGGTTTATAGAGGACACCCCCAAATCAACTGCTTCATTAGATGGTTTCCAGGTTTCCTCCAGGTGATGCTGTGAGCCCCTGAGCTGACAGCGAGGGGCCGGCTGGGCTCGGCATCCCGCACAGCACGGCCGCCCCGCCAAGCTCCGCCCCACACCTCGGTGTTGTCTGTCCACGCACCGCGTGTTATGTCCACACAGTAATAAACCACTTACTGTCCACACMATGGGCTTTGGCTTTCACTGTCTCCGGCTCCAGGTTGCCCTGGTTGGGGACGCCCCTTTTCAGGGAAGGGCCCAGGGCCAGGGGGCGCAGCAGTGAGAGCAGCGAGACAGGCCTCCRGCGGGAGCTAGGCTCAGTCAGAACATCCCGGGACCCGCGGGGCGGGCCGGGACGTCTTGGGCACCACCCCCGGATGTTCTGGGGCCTCTGGTCCTCCTGAAAGGAGCCACACGCCCCGGGCCCCCAGCTGACAGGCCCTCAGCCCAGCCACTGCCTGGACCACCACAGGCGCAGGGTCCGGAGGATGTACCTGCTCAGGTGGGGTTAGTGGGCKCCAGGGCTGAGGGCGGCGGTAGGGAAAGCCACCCCCACCTGCCACACAGGCTCCCCTGCGCCTCACAGAGGACCCTGGCCTGGGGTGGCAGCRGGGACAACCCACAGGCCACCTGGGGTGCATCCCCAGCACTAGCTCTCCATTGCAGCCAGGGCAGGGTCTGAGCCTTGGCCTGGGGGACCACCATCCATGAGGCCAGGAGCCCAGACAGTGATAGGCCTTGATGTCCTGGCCATCGTCCCTCAGGCCACCCCATGTGACTCCCCGCCCCACCCCAGATCCCACCTCAGGCCCAGCTACTCTCGGGGCCCAGCCTGGCTGATGACGAGAGGCCTGGTCCTTGAGGTACTGTACCTCCCTGGGGATTCCCGAGCCCTAAAAGTCAGGCACGTGGTTGTTCTCCAGTCTGGGAGGCGGGGGCTCCCACCCTCTCCCTGCGCCCCCTTGACACTGCGTACTCAGGGCCGTCTCCAGAGGCACCCCCAGGCTCAGGTCGGGCCAGGCTGCTGATAGGCACTGCCTGGGGGACAGGTGCTGGTGGAGGGGGCAGAGGTCAAAGGACTGCTGTGGGTGGGGTGGGGGCTGGACTCCCCCCAGGGCCCCCTTGGCCCTGGGGCAGGCTTGTGTGCACAGGGAGGGGCTGCCTGCCCAGGCTCAAAGTCCTCCTGTCTCAGAAAGAGCCTTTGGCCCAGGCCTTGTCCCGCACTATCTCAGCAGTCAGACGGCACCAATGAGGCCGCTCCCAGGCAGAGGGCAAGGACTACAGCAAGCCCTGCTTCCGCCTCCATCCCAGGTCAACAGCAGCCCTGCCGCCTGTCGGGTGGTCCCTGGCTCAGCCGGCCCCACAGCCTCCCCCCAGCGCTTAGGGGGTGCTCCATGGCCGAGCCCACACCGGTCTCTGTGGAGGGAGGGCCTCACCCAGCACCCGCTGCTGCCTGCCTGCTGTAGAYACCATGTCACACTAGCCCAGCCCCAGGGCCAGGGAGCTGACCAGAGGGCTACCTCCCTAGTCGCAGCTGTGCCATTGGTTGCTCCACAGAAAGGACAGAGGCATGTCCCCACTTCACACAGACACCAAGGACAGTGCCCAGCTTGCTGCCCTCGGGCGGTGGTTCACTATGTGTGCGTGTCTGTCCAGCCACCCATCTGTCCTTCTGGCCAGGGCCTGCTCTGCAGAGCTGTCTCAGCTGATGGGCCTGAACCTCTGTGGACTTGGGAAGCTTCCACAGCGCTAAGGGCCTGAGATGGAGCAGAAGTTGGACAGGTCCAGGGGGCCAGGCTGAGAGCTCAGCCAGGGTGGGAGGAGCCACGGGTCCCCAGTCTGCTGCTGTGATTTCAACATGTGCAGGGCCTTCTGCCGTCCATGCACCTGGAGGTCACTATCCACAGTGGCATGGCCATCAGGAACACTGCCTGAGGCCACCACCCAACCAGCTCAGTAAAGGGGTTGCAAGTTGGAGCTGGCCAGGAGGGGGCGCCACTGAGGCACAGGCACCGCCTGCCTGGGTCTGGGGTCTTCTGGGAGCCAGGCTGGGGTCAGGACCACCCCCTCGGAAGCACAATGCACAGACTGTGAAAACAAGCACTGGGTTTAATTTAGGGCACAAGAATCCAGAGAAGTCAGCTCCGTGAGGATCATGGGCCCAGGGCCCAAAAAGGTCCACTGAGAGTCCCTGTGCAGACCAGGACGCAGCCTGGGCCCACTATTGACAGGCATAGCTGCTGATGGCAACTCCCAGGGCTCTGGGGACAAAAGCCAGAATCAATGCAGCCAAACCCGTCTGGGGCACTGCCCATGGGCACGAAGGAGGCAGCAGCCAAACCCGTCTGGGGCACTGCCCATGGGCACGGGGGAAGCAGCAGCCAGCCGGGCAGTGTGGGCGGGGTCAGGTCGCAGGCTCCCTGGCAGGGCTCATAGGCGGTCCTCTGCCAGCTTGCACACCCGCTTCACCCTGGCATAGGGCCCCAGGGAGTCCTCGAACACAAAATCCCAGAGCACCTTCACCCACGAGTGGTGCTGYGGCAGGTGGTCGTAGTACTCGGGCGCAATCTTCCGCACCTGTAGAGAGGGCAGGGGTCAGGGGCCAGCCCCGGCCACCCACGCAAGCACACGTGCACACGTACACCAGCGTCTCCCAGGGTGCTGGAGTCCCACTAGCCTCCAAGCTCAGCCCACGTGGCACAGGAGCCCTGCCTGGCCCACAGCAGGCACCCCTCCATGGCTGCTCTGTGACTCTTGGGTCCTGATTCTGGCTCTGCCCAGGCAGGCACTGCCCTCTGGGAGCCTGTGCCTTCCCCTCTGTAAAATGGGGACAGTGAACAAAGGCACCTGCTCAGGGGCTGTGGAGGTGGTAAGTGAGCCAGGTCCATGCACAGCCCAGCCACCGCCTCCCGGCTGCACTTGCACGAGCCTTCTCACGCACAGAGGCCCCRGGTACACACACAGCCTCACGCTCAGGCCCCACCTGCTGCCCGCGCTGGGTCACCTCAGTTCTTTCTGACCAGCCAGAGCCGGCTGAGCTGGGGAACCACGGGGCCTCCTCCCCCACTGCTGCCCTTCCTCCTTTCTCACGAAATTCTCCAACTCCAGGCCCAGGGCTCCAGGGAGAGGCCACCAAAGGTTTCGCCTCCCTGCAGCCGAGCCACACCCCTTAGGTTGCAAAGCACAAGGCCCACCCTGTCCTGACTGGCCAGCTCTGGGCCAGGAGGGCGTCAGGAGACAGGAAGAGCCTCCCGTGGAGAATCGCTAACACAGCTGCCTCGTGCAGAAGAGAAAGATGAAGCACAGAGAGGGTGAGTGACTTGCCCAGAGACACAGTGCATGAATGTCACAATAGGGTGCAAGCCCCCTCTCATTGAACCAAGCCCCTAACTGTAACACTCCTGAGACTCCACCCTCCCTGGATTTGCCCCCTTACTCTCCAGCCTGGCACTTGCATGTGTCTTGTGACCTTTCCATTGCCCTGGAGACCACAAATGAGAGTGACCATCACCTGAGCAGCATAGAAAGGATAAAGCACCTGGATTTGGCCCAGGGCCTCTCGGGGCCCCCTCCTCACATGTCTGTCTGGCCCTTGCCCCCCAGCCCCGCCTGGGCCCAGCACGTACCAGGGGCAGGTTGCAGCCCGGGATGCTGGGGAAGTCGTGGTGCTCCATGTGGTAGCCCACGTTGAAGGTGATCCAGTTGAGGGGCCCGTAGTAGGAGTAGGTCTCGTGGCCCTTGAGGAACATGTAGTGCTCGGCCACGAAGTGGCCAGAGATGGGGTGCAGGCCCAGGCCCAGCAGGGAGCTGGCCAGAAGGTAGGCCACAGGCTTGATGCCCCAAAGGGCAAAGATGGCGGCGTCGACCACCAGCTGCACCAGGGTGTTGAGCACCTCCATGCGGGTCACGGCCTTGGGGTTGACACAGAGCGGCCGCAGCGAGTAGAAGAAGGGCTGCAGCACCAGCCACAGCAGCTTGCGGGCCGGCGTGCAGAAGAACCAGCCCTCCAGGTGCGTGGGGATGTCCACGTCCAGCCCATCGCCACCCAGGTAGCGGTGGTGGTCCACGTGGTACTTCTTGAAGGAGGCCGCGTAGGGCACGCCCACGGGCAGGTTGGCGAAGATGGCGAACCAGCGGTTGTGGGCAGGGCGGCCGGTGCCGAAGGCAGTGTTGTGGGAGATGTCGTGGATGGCCAGCGTCAGGGAGTGGTTCACGCAGCCGCCAAAGGCGTAGGCCCAGAAGAAGAGCCAGCGCCAGGCCAGCCCCTGCACCAGCCAGCAGGCCAGCAGCTGCGACAGCACCAGCCCTGTCACCGTCCACTTGATATGTGGGTCTGGCCGCATCAGGTCCTTGATGGCCGGGTACTTGGCTGCAGTGAGAGGGAGCAGGCGGCTCGGTGAGAGAGCTCGGCCGGCTCCACCCTCCCTGTGCTCTTCCAGCACCTTCCATCCGGCCATGCCCCTCCCTCTCTCCTTCCACCCTCCAGCAGCCCACGCCCTCAAGGATGCCTAGGAGGGACGTGCCACCCTCGCACCCAGGAGTACCCAGCCTGAGGGGACGCAGAAGCAGGGGACCTGCCACCCCTCCCCTGGGGGCCTGGGGAGACTTCCCAGAATGGGGGAATTTGCCACCAGCCTAAATACAGGGCAGGGGTCACCACAGGTCCCAGAAATGCCAGAAATCAGAGCCACGGCAGAGCCAGGAGCCACCTGCCCCGAGAGCCCCTGCTAAACACGCACCTCGGTGCTGTGGCTGCGGGGCCAAGACACAGCACAGCAGAAGGACAACATGGACTGGTCATCCCCAAACTCATCAGGCCCCTGGGGGTGGCCACGGGAGGGGAACTGCAGGACTCCTGCTTGGCCTTAAAACAGACCGGATTTGAACACCCTCTGAATTAAGAGGAACTTCCGCTGTGACCCCTGCCCCCAAACCCTGACAGGGGCCGAGCTGGGAAGGAAGACGGCAGATGGCCCGCCCGACCTAGCCGGCCGAATCTGCGCATGTCCGCTTCCTGCCTGCCGCTGCCTCAGAGGCTTTGAAAGTCCTGCTGCCCTTAGGAGTTTCAGAGACGGAGCTTTTGAAACCATCAAGTTTCTTCCATCTTCTTCAAAGCTGGCTTTGATTAAAACCTATTTTTCTATCAATTTGACTCCAAATATTTCTGGRGCCGGGAGCAGAGCAGCTAGCCCCTTCCCTGGGCGGGCAGATCCACCCGATAACAGCCCCGAGATCTTAAAACAAACAAGAACTGCAGGAAATATGATAAAGGGTTGAAGGCATGTGTTTGGGGCCTTAGGTGCTTATTAGAGATCTTTTTTACTTTTCTGTATTTTGTTTTACAGAAAAGAAACAATGTGAGTGGGAGGAGGCCACCCAGGCCAGGAGCAGCAGCCCTGCAGGACCGGGAGGGTGGGCACCCGGTCCCCGGGGCAGGACAGCTCTGCCTTCTGGAGACCTCTGCGGCTGCTCAGCTGGAGGAGCCAAGGTTCAAGGCAGACTGCAGGAGCTGGGTGCAGGGCTGGGGTTCATCATGTGCTCAGGGGGACAGGCATCCAGGCCTGCTCTGTCCCCTGTCCCCTGGGCAGGAGCAGACAGGCCCTCAGAGATGGAGCCCRTCCTGTCATGCAGATGGGGAAGCCAAGCGCAGCAGGGCCTCGGGTCAGTTAGTACTGGTCCTCAGGGTCCCCAGAGTCTCCCACATCGACCCCCAACCCAATGAGCAGCCAGCAGCCTGGGCTCACCCTCCTCAGGCCTGTGGAGAGGGTCTCCCAGGGCCGCCCCAGGGGCTGGGGACCCAGAAGTGGAACCCCCCAGGCCAAGGAGGGCTCCTGCCTCAGCTCCTTCTGTATCCCAGAGTGTCACTCCCCTTTGGCACCCAGAATGGGGAGGATGTGACGCCGAGCAGGGCCCCCTCAGGGCCCCATAGCCAAGGCCCTCCTTCCCTCAGCCCGGTTACACGTGAGGAGACCTGGCTCAGGACGATGCCAGGACTCTGCCTGTACCTGAGGGCCTGACCCTGGCCTCCAGACCCCAAGAAGATGCACCGGGGCACTCTGACTCCGGTTGCTAGCCATTCACGCCTCTCCAGCAAGTCAGGGAGTCACGGCGCGGTCACGTTGGCCCAGCCAGGGATGACCCGGGCGGGGAACCCCTGCCCGAGCTGCTGGGCCCAGAAGGCTGCTGGCCTTGACCTTCTGGGAGGTGCGTGTGTTCCCGCTCCTCCCGGTTCAGGTGCAGGCTAGCCCAGGCGCGAACCCCAGCTCCACCTGAGGGTTTAAAATTCAGAACATAAAAGACAGGACTGCGACTCGACGACAAAACTAACAACCCGCTCTAAGGTGGACGAGGGCTAGGAGCAGACATTTCTTCTCCACACGGGAGGGAAGGGGGCCTGTGAGCACCGCAGTCACGGGAAGTGCAGCTTCTCGGTGAGTGACCACCTCCSGCCACCAAGGGTGGCTAGAGCCAAAGAAGGGAAGCAAGTGAAGACGCGAGGAGCCGCAGCCCCTGGCAGCCCTGCGGCTGGGCATGGTGAGGAGAGGGGCCTGGCCGGTCCCTGAGATGGCAGACGGGTCGTGACCACCTGGTCCCRCCCCCGCCCCTTAAGCATGTGCCCGGAACTGGAGATGAGGGTCCAACCAGGTGCCATCGCCTGCTCACAGGAACCTGCGTGTCCAGCCGGGGAAGACCACGCAGAAAATGTGTTGGTCGTACACAGAATGGCGCTTGCCATTTTTTTCTTTTTTTTTTTTTTTTTTAAGGGAAGGAATGTCATAGCAGTCACCGGCCCCAGCATGGGTGGACCTCGGGGACCAGACACTAGAAGAATGTTGTCTGACGTCACTAGGAGGAAATACCCAAGGGACGCAGCGAGGGTGGGACAGTGCAGCAGACGTCACCCGGGGTGCCCGCTGGGGCTGGGTTTCTGTTTGGGGWGACAACAATGTTTCAGAAACAATAGTGATGGCTGCACAACACTGTGGATGTCACTAAGGCCACCAAGCCTCACACTTAAACATAGTTGAAGTGGCACCTCRTGTGGGTCATATATTTTACCATGGTAACAAAAAGTTTTTAAAAGTCCCAGCTTCCTTGGGGCTGGGGAAGTGGCTCAAGCGGTAGCGCGCTCGCCTGGCATGCGCAGGGCGCTGGGTTCAATCCTCAGCACCACATAAAATAAAATAAAGATGCTGTGTATTAAAAAATTCTCTCTCTCTCTCTCTCTCTCTCTCTCTCTCAAAAAAAAATCAAAAGTCTCAGCTTCCCACACGTGACCTTTGTCTGAGCTCCCTGGGAGGATCCCAAAACACTGTCCCTAGAGCCTTGCCAACTCACAGGGTGGACATGGGGACAAAGCTCTGGGCAGTTGACAGGCTCACACAGCGTGTTTCTGGGACAGGAAGGTGTTGGGGACATGGTCATGGTCATGGACTCCCAGGGGTGACCGTGTACCCACTCGGCCCTTGGCGTCACCCTGGCAGTTGGTGTGTGGGATGAGGGGAGAGCTGCCCAGCTCTGTGCTGCCCCAGAAGCCCCCAAGGAAGCCCGCAGGGCAAGGCCAAGGCCTCTGTCCTCTGCAGGGAGGGGGAGAATAGCAGACCCCAAAGATGCCACATCCTAAGCCTGACATCTGTGACTGCATTCGGTTACACAGCAAGGGCGGGTGGGCACACGGGCTTCTCATCAGGGAACCCGAAATGGGGACTCCTGGGTCAAGCTGGGGCCATGGCCGTCACAGGAGGGAGGTGGGGGCGGAGGTCTCTGTGCTGYGACACAGGACAGACTGGTCCTGCCACAGCTGCTTTGGGACACCAAGGAAGGAAGGGATGTGCAGAGGAACGTGGGCAACTCCAGAAGCTGGGAGACAGGAAATGGATTCCCCAGCCTCCCAAAGGGATGAAGCCCTGCTGACATCGGTTCCCGCCCAGCAAGGACCCGTGAGACTTGCTGCATGGCCACTGACGGGTTTTAAGCCCCAATCATGGGACCTTGTTCTCGCAGCTGCAGGAAACTGATGTGCACCCGTGGCAGCCCAGGCCCCGCGCAGCCCTGGGATGGAGTGGGAGGGCTTGGCCATCCCTGCCGGAGCCTCGCTGCCCACCGCCCGGCCATGGACAGGCCTCCAGGGCACCTCCCAGCTTTGACCCACCCGTCCTGAAAGGGCAGAGCTCAGATGTGAAAGCTGGAAGGACACGGGCCTAGGGGACAGGAGCCACACACTAGCCTTCCACTTGGAGGTGGGGACAGGGCCTGCTGCTCCACAGGGCGGCAGGTGGGGCAGGGGCAGGGGCAGGGGCAGCCTCATCCCACCTTCTTCTGACCCAACAGGGCCAGGGTCAGCAGCGACACTTCGGGCTGGGCTGTGCTGCAGTGTGGTTGGGAAAAGGGGTGCTTCTACAGGCAACCAAGGGACTGGGGGTCCACCAGCCACAGCCAGGCAAGAGGGGGTCTTTGTGACAGGCAGGGAAGAAGGATGTACCATCCTCTCTTCGGGAAGAGCCTGCCCTGCCCAGGACCTGGGAGGCATCGCAGAGCCCTGAGCCTGTGCACCCCAGGAGTCAGGCTGGGCTCCACCYGCCTGCCTCTCACCAGGGTCCTCCGGGCACCAGCCTCGCTCTACAGGGGCCTCAGAATAGCAGCAGGTCCCCCACCTGCCCAGACCCTGCAGGAGATCCAYCAGCTCAAGGCCCTCGGCTTCCACAGAGCAGGTGGCCCCTACTTCCCCTTGGAAGGACGCCAAGTCTTAGAGCAAGAGGGTGGGGCCTGCCACACCTGCACCAGGTGAGCCACAGGCAGGTGAGCTGTGGGGCCGCAGGGCCTGGGTCACCTGGTTCTTGGATCCAGGCCAGACCAACAATACTCTGCTCCTCAGAGGCAAGAGCAACAACCGAGCCCAGAAGCCAGGACCTGGGCCAGTGGGTCCCAGTTTACCTGTCTGCTGAASAGAGATCACATGCTCTCCTGTGAGATGGGTTGGAAGCAAGTGAGAACACACTTGGGGTCCCCCAACCAGGCCAGCTTCAGGGAGCCTGGTGCCCCATCCTCCTCTTCCCAGCGGTTCCAAAGGACCCAAGCCCTCTCTCCTCAGGGACCCAGAGCAACTGAAGACGACAGCAGAACCCGGGCCTGCCTGGCCGCCCTGAGGCTGCCCCTTACACCCCCAGGGTCTGTAGGACCGCAGTGCCAGGACTGGGAGGAGCACACCCCTGAAACCTCCTCTCAATGGACGCTGGGCAGCTCCCAGCCTGGCCAGGCACAGGCACATCCAGAGGAGCCCTCACTCAGACCAGACCCCACAGGGCCTGGGGAGCCTCCCATGCCCAGTTCCTGAGCGGGGTCTTGGAGCAGTGTTTGCCCCTCTCCCCA